ATGTATATGTATATGTATATGTATATGTATATGTATATGTATATGTATATGTATATGTATATATTTATATATATGTGTATATGTATATGTAAATGCATAGGCAGGCGTACTTGTCAGAGTGTACGCATGCACACATTTTATTGACGTAAATATTATTTACTGTTTATTCACCGTATACATCGATATTTTAACCCATATATATATATGTATATATTAATATTTTTTTTGGAGGGGGAGCCGGCGGCATAGACGCCCCCATGCACTTCTCCGTGTGCAATGAATGCATGCAATTATTATACGTGCCTTGCAAGCATGTACATGCATGGAGGCAAATGCATGGAAATACAAGCTGGCCCCGGGTGAATATGTATGCATGCATGTATGCATGTATGCATGTAAAGAAATGCATGTAGCATGCGCACTACAGGCGGCTAAGGGTCCGAGAGAAGAACATAGAGTTGAAAAGGATGGTGGTGTTCTTCAAATGCAGCGAACATATTCAAAAAAAGAATTATACATAAAAAACAACGCGTTCAAACTAAAAGTTGCAAACTAAAGACACAAACAGCAGAAGCAGAGATAGGCAGAGAAACAGGAGCACGGCACAAACATGGAGACAAGAGCAGAGCGGTTTTGCAGAGGGTGTGCTGGAGGCCCATCTCAACAAAGACAGAGAAAATGGAGAGAAGGCACAGAAGGATCAGCGAGACAAGGAAGATAGCTAGCCAGATAGCTAGCTACCTAGCTAGCAGCAACTCAGGCAGGAGAGAGATATACAACTAATATCGGGAGCACACAATAGAAGAAGAGTACGCAAGTGGCAAAGAAAGAAAGAGGAAGAACGAGAGGAAGGCACAACAAAAAGATACAGGGAAAAACAGAAAGGACAGCCAGAAGGCCCTATATATATGCACATATATTGGGCAAGGAACCCTGCACATATATATTTATTCTTGCACGCATATATAGATGTATATATATAGGCATATGAAGATGCATGAGAGCATGCAATAATGTGTCTGACCTCGGACATCGAGCATGGTCAATTCTTTGCAGCAGTGAAGCCTTGCGAGGAGCGCCAGGCTTTCATCTCGCAAGCTGGAAGCCCCAGAGAGGCGGAGGCCCCTCAGCCCTTTGCAGCTTTCGCAAAGCCTCAGCAGCACTCCGTTGCCCACGTTGTCGCACCCGGAACAGTCTACCTGACACAAGTAAACCCTAAACCCTATACCCTAAACCCTATGAACGAAACGCTACGCCGTAGACGCTAAACCCTAAACCGAAACCCGGGATGGTGAACCCTAAACGCAACGTCCCTAAATTCTAAACCCTAGACCCAAACCTCTAGACTTTACACCCTAAACCCTAAACCATAAACCCTAACTGCTACGAGGCAGCCGCTGCAGGCACTCCCGAACGAAACCTCCTCTGGAGGCTTGGGTGGGGTCTTAGAGTTTACGGTTAATAGAGTTTGCTCTTCCGTGTTGGAGTTCCTTTAACTTGTTTTGATCATAACTACTATGCATGCACAGGCAATCAATGATACATAGTAAATATATTTCATTATATATTTCATTTATAATGGGATGTACCTCCTGAAGATCAGGCAACATGGCGAGACAGGAACCGATCTTTGCATCGGCTTCGCCCTTGCAGCAGAAGGAGATGTTCAAGTTAAGAATTTGTGAATGATTTGAAAAGAACAGCTGCAGTCCCTGAAACAGAAGAGCAGAACAAGCAGATATAGATAGACAGACAGACACAGATATATAGATAGATAGAAAGACACAGATACATAGATCTAAAGATCGATAGATAGATAAATAGGTAGATAAATAGATAGATAAATAGATAGATAGAGAATGGGTCTATGCGTTCTACTTTGCTTTCCTCCATACACTTAAGGCTGATTCTCTTCTCGCCCTTTATTTGCTTTTGCCTTCATCTCCGCCTCTGCCTTTGTCTCTGCTTTTAAATTGGTCGGCCTGTGAATATCTGGCTCTCCCCTTAACTCTATTCTTGTCTCCGTCGGTATCTCTCTCTGTCTCTCTCCCTCGCTCTCTCTCCTGCTCACTCCATCTCTATCTCTCTGTATCTTTTTCTCTCTTTGTCTATCTATACGTCCATCTATCTGTGTATCGATCTATATATATATCTATCTGTCTATCTGTCTATCCATCTATCTATCTGTCTATCTATCTATCTATCTATCTATCTATCTATCGATCTATCTATCTATCTATCTGTCGATCTGTCTATCCTTCTGTCTTTATATCTATATATCTGTGTCTCTCTATCTATCTATCTATATATCTGTATATTTCTAACTATATCTGCTAATCTATCTACCTTTCAACCTATTCATTTTTATTTATTTATCTATCTATCCAACTGTCCATCTATTAAATAAATAAATAAGCATTTATTCACATATGTATTTATCTATCCATTTATGCATCTACCTATTTATCTATTTTTCTATCTCCCTTGTTCTCGTGTGCCTGTGTCTGCCTGTGGGGTTTTGAGTTCGCTCATCCCATTGCCCCCTGGATGGGTGAATGCACCTCCAAACCCTAAACCCTACACCCTAAACCCTAAAGCCTGCATCCTACGCTCTAAACCGTATAAATCTTCTAACCCCACTTGAGTGGTTAAGCTGCTGCAGCCGGAACAATTGAAAGAAAGAAGTTGAGGGAAAGAAAATGAGAGGCGAGACAGGCCTGGAGAGGAACAAACCAAACAACCCCCCAAGCCGAAACCTCAATTAGTATCCATAAACCATAAACCCGATGCCGCAAACCCGAATTCCCTGCAGTAAACCTCCAAGCCTAAACTATGAAAACCCTAATTACTAGCAAGAAACTCTACCCAATAACTATAAAGTAAACCCTAATTACGACCCCTAACACTAAACCCTGACTGCTGGGAATAAACCCTAAACCCTAAACCGTAAACCGTAATTGTGCCTCCTTACAGGCATCTGAGAAGTCTGGGCATCGAGCGATCTGCAACTCTTCGAGCCGCTTCAGATGCAACAAACAACTCATGCTGAACAGAAAACCTAAACCCTAAACCCTAAACCCTAAACTCTAAACTCTCAACCCTAGCCCCTCTGCCTACGCCTGAGTTTTAAAGCGGCTCACCTCTGCTCGTTGACAGCGCGGATGCACCCTGAGAGGTTTATCCCCCTTAACCACTGCAACGCAAACCCTAAACCCTATACCCTCATCCCTCAGTTGCAGACCCCTGCTATCAATGCGGCCTGGTTTCCAAACCCTCAACCAAAGAGCTAAACAGAAACTGCGGCATTTATTAAGAGGGTTTCTGCCTTCACAAGCAACATAGTCTCTGGTGGTAAGGGTTTAGGGTTTACGGTTTAAGGCTAAGGGTTTAGGGTTTAGGGTCTTGATGGCCTCACCTTCATCGCCTTCAGGAAAGACAAACTCACAAGCGCCTCGCATGAACTCAGGTCGAGGTATTCCAAGCTGCAGCAACAATAGCAGCACAAGCAACAGCAGCAGCACAAGTAGCAGCATCAGCATACGCAGCAGCAGGAACACAAGCAACCGCAGCAACAAAACCAGCGGCAGCAGTAACACAAGCAATAGCAGCAGCACAAGCAGAAGCAGTGGCAAGGAAATGACGGGATGGATTTCGTCGCCTCGCAGGGTTTAGGGTTTAGGGTTTAGGTTGTACTTGGAGCAGACATGGAGAGCTCGTTCCGCTTCTCCACCCAGATGGTCATTCCTTAAAGACAAGCACCTGAGGGCCCCCCCTACCTTCTGAATTAGGACCCCCAACTGCTTGTCAGTGAGCCAGGGGGCCCCCCCTCCCTCTAAACATTGCACTCCATCCAGACAGCTCAAAGTTGCTGAGCTTTCCGCCTCAAGGGGCCCCTCAACGAGGGCCTCCGACTTCCCGGCGGGCCTCTGCGAAGCTCCCTGGGGGGGCCCCACAATGGGGGCCCCCCAGAAGTTCTCTATAGTTGGAAGAAGGCTGCTGGGAGAGGAGCCCATCTGAGGGCCTCCCTTCAGGGCACCCTTGGCACCTTTGGCCTTCTTTTTCTTCCTCTTCTTCTTTGCTCCTTTCTTTCCCGGCTTCTTCTCCTCTAGAGGAGCCGAGGGGGGCCCCCGCACCCTTTCTGGTGGGGGGGTCTGAGGCAAGGGTATCTCATCAGCAGGGGGCCCCTGGGGGTCCCCCTTGAACTTGTGGAAGAGAGACAGAGGCAGCAGATGGTAATTTATTGCGTTTGAGTCGAAGGCATAAAGAGGAAGAAGCCTCTCTGGAGGCAGCAGTAGGCCCATCCAGCTGCTGTTCTGCAGCAATAGCAACAACGGCGGAAGCAGCAATCAAGTTAGCAGCATCAGCAACAAGAGCAAAAACAGCAGCAGCAACAACAGCAGAACGAGCAGCAACGACAACAGCAGCAGCAACTACAACAGTAACCGGAGCAGCAACACCAGCAGCAACAGCAGAGATGTGGGATACTAGCAGATGGGTGCAGACGTTTCTAGAGATTCTTTAAGCACACGTTTCTAGAGATTCTTTAAGCACATTGCATTCCCTCCCTTCAGAATAGGGGCCCACGGGCTTCCGTAAACCGTCAACCATAAACCGTGAACGGTAAACTCTAAATCCTAAACCCTAAACCATAAGACCCTAAACGGACAGAGCGTTCCTCCTCACCCCAAGGGTCTTTCCCTGGTACGCCTCCTTTGCATTCATAATGCTGGAGGTCCTGCTGCGGCATGTGGTATGTGTAGCAGCACTTTGGGTTCGGGGGGCCCCCAGTGGCCCCCCTGCGAGCATCGTTTCCATGAGGGAGCGGAGAGGAGTGACACTTTGGCTCCACAAGGAGCTTTGGGCTGCTGCTGCTGCTGCTGCTGCTTCTCCCTCTGCGTCTGGCGCTGCTTCTGCTGCTCCCCCTTCTACTGCAGGTTCTCCAGCAGCAGTAGCAGCATCGGACGGGGCAGCGGGCACCCCAGACGACAGAAAGGTCAGGGCCCCCAGAGTGTTTGTTGTGGGTTTATTCTCTGCTTGCTGCTGCAGCAGCGCGAGGCGATGGAGGTGCAGGCAGCAAGGAGTCTCTGTATGGGGCCCCTCTTTGCTGGATATTGTTGTGCGGGGGCTGTAGTTGCTGCTGCTGATGCTGTCAGGGCCTGGGCCTGAATCAATCCCAGACTCATCGTACCACGAGACGCTGACTCGCGCTGCAGCTGTTCCGTCTTCTGCTGCTTCTGCTGCTGCTGATACTGTTGCTGTTGCTGCCGTTGACTGTGCAGCTGCAACAGTCGCTCCCGCCGCTTCTGCAGCTGCTGCAGCAGCAGCAGCAACTTCAGTACCAGCGCCCTCCATGCGGCAGATCAACTTCTTCTATTTGAAGGACGGAAACCCTAAACCCTAGACCCTAAGTTGTAAGTCTTAAACTGCAAGCCCTAGCGTGGGTTTCGTTCTACTTAGCCCTAATGTGCTTCTGTCTGCTGCCTGTCAACCAGATGTCGTGGTACTGGGGGCCCCATTTCTTTGTCTCTACACACTTAGAGAGCCGCTCTGTTCGAAAGATTTGCCTTTCCGCTGGGAACCCCTAAAAGCGCTCTATCTCTTAGGTCCCCCAACGGAGGCCCCCGACGGTTTCCCACCCGGTACCGTAGGATGATGGCACGGGGGCCCCAATGGCTTAACTGTGCGGGGTCCTAGGGTCTCCCTCGTTCTTTGTATTGGTGGGGGCCCCCAGGTCTTTCTTCTCAGGAGCTGGGGGCCCCTGGGGGCCCCTGCTGAAGGAGAGTTACCTTACGTCGGCTAGGGTTCTACAGCGGCGCTACAAGGCAGGGATCCGTTTGTTCACGGTGCGCATAAAGGGTTAGGGGCCCCCAAACGGAAGGGGCCCCCAAACGGAAGGGGGCCCATAGGGAGTGTTGGCAGCTGTTAGGGCTGTCACGGGGGCCCCCGTCCGTTTGCCGGCACCGCGCACCCGTAGTTGGGGCTGGGGGGCTTCCTTACCGCTTTGATGATAGCTTATGTTTATAATCTTTAAGTGAACAATTCAGTGAACGAAGGTAGTTGAGACCCATGGGGGATAAGGAGACGAAGGGTACTACAATGAAGCATCGAGGCAGCAGCCGAACAGAGCTGCTGCTGCTGCTGCTACTGCTGCTGCAGCTGCTGCTTGGCCTGTTAATGCTGCAAGAGCGAATTCCAGGAAAATAATAAAATGTCTAAGCAATATAATACTACAGACACAGAGAAGCAACACGAGAAATATTTAAAATGTGAAGGTATGAGGCTGCTCTCCTGGGGCCCCCGCTGGACCCCCGTCTCGGCGAGCTGCAGCAGCAGCAATGGGTACTGTTGCTGCTGCAGTTTTTGCGTACAACAGAGATCCCTTTCCCGTTTTTATTCACTTCATAGACTTAATACCTTTATTTTAGACTCATTAGAACGAGTAAGCCACCCAGAACTCCTTCTCCGCTACTGAAAACACCAAGCAACTCGAGGGGCCCCCAGCGGCTAACCAGGGGCCCCCTATGAGTAGTTTAAGAAGAACCCGGGGGGCCCCCTTGCCTGCCTGTATGCAGCTCTTAAACCGGCCAGTCGAATAAAAGACAGTCATTAGCGTTCGCGTTGGATACCAGGAGTTTTGAGGAAGGATCCCCTATACACATGGTGGCTAGACCCTACACCCTCAGTCCTGAACCAAAGAAAAGCCTTAGAGATGCCACCGCCTCCCTCAGAGCAGCATGAGGATTCTGGAATTATACTTTATGCAGAAGGGGCCCTGGATCGTTTGCCAGGGGGCCCAGCTTCAGCTGGGGGCCCCCAGGGGCCCCCGGGTTCCGGCATACCGCCCCCACCTTTTTTGAAGCCTTTTACTGCCTCTCCCTTTGTCTTAAAGGCAAGGCCTGGATTCTTTGTTCCTGCTCAAAAACTCGCACCTGCAAACATGTATATGGAGGACTACTGGGAGAAACAGCAGCAACTGATGCAGCAGCAGCTGCAGCAGCAGCTGCAGCAGCAACTGCAGCTGCAGCAGCAGCAGCCGCTGCAGCAGCAAAAGCAGCTGCAGCAGCATCAGCCGCTGCAGCAGCAAAAGCAGCTGCTGCTGCTGCAGCAGCGACAACAGCAGCAGCAGCGGCAGCAGCAGCATCAGCTGTTGCTGCAACAGCAGCTGCTGGAGCAGCAGCGGCAGCAGCTGCTGCAGCTTTCTGGTGAACACAACGACAATCAGGAGCCCCCGGAAGCCACCACCTCTTCCCCTCAAGCTATAGATCCGAGGTGATAATACAACTGCGAAACCCTAAGCGCTAAACCCTTAACCCTACTTGTACAGCGAAGGCCCAAGGGCAAGCAGGGGTTTGCACAGTCGAGGGTTTAGGGTGCCATTAAAGAGCAGAAGGATTTACACGAAGGGACCAGCGCTTCTAGGTGGGGTTTTATAGAAATTAGGGTTTAGGGTTTACGACTGGGGATTTAGGGTTTGTTTCCGCCGGTGCAGGACAGAGGAGGATTTGGATTCACACGACTGCGGCGTCTGGATGTACGGGAGATGCAGTGTACGTTAGGGTTTAGGGTTTAGGGTTTAGGGTTTTGACTTTGGGGTTTAGAGATCACTGCTTACTTTCATTTGGCGTCAGGGACGAGGTTTAGGGTTTAGGGTTTAGGGTTCGGTGTGCGTTTGGTTGTGCCAGCTTTGCCTCGCTCGTGGAAAGCTGAGCCCTTCGTGTCCAAAGGCGAGTGGATATACAGCACCTGCAGCAGCAGCAGATGCAGCATCAGCATCACAAGCAGCGGCAGCAGCAGCAGCAAAACTGTCGGCATCTTCACATGCTGTTGCAACAGCAGCCCCCGCTACACTCCATGCATTGCCGACGAAAGAACACAGAAAGAAGTTGAATAACGATAGAAGAGATAAAGAAAAAACAAAGACAGAAAGACGGCATGCTCATAAGACACCCAACTGCTTTTCTATCTATTCAGACGACGACGGACCCCAGGGGGGCCACCGCATGGGGGCCCCTATAGAAGCCCCCATGCAGCGTGAAGAGAAACAGTGGTGGAAAAGACAGAGAAGAGGTGCTGTTGTAGCCAATGATGCACGCCGAGGAAGACGCAGGAGCAGCAGCAGCAGCAGCAGCAGCAGCAGTGGCAGCAGAAGCAGCCGCAACAACAACAGGAGCAGCCTGGAACGGCACAGTCGTCTGCACCAGCACCAAAAGGGAAGGCACCTATATTCAATCACCCGGGACAGAAAACACGAGAGGATGAGGGGAAGGATGTAGGTCGTCCTTTCATCTGCTGCTGTTGCATATGCTGATGCTGCATATGCAACTGCCGCTTCTGCTGCTGTTGGGTGAATACCGCTGTTGCTGCTGGTGCTGTTGTTGCTGCTGCGTGCATGCATCATCTCTATCTTCAATCAGTAAAAAAGAGTGTTGTAAAAGGAGATGCTGCACCACCATCAAGACGAATGTTCAGCGTTTAGAGCTTTGGGCGTTTTCTAGGGTTTAGCATTTGAGGTTTAGGGTTTGGGGTTCAGGGTTTGCGGCGTGGTGGTTGTTGCAGCGACCCCCCAGTGGACAGTTTGGTGACAAAGATGGAAGAAATGGAGACAGAGGATTTAAAAGAGATTCTCTTGAGAATGCTTGACTGTAGAAGGTGCGGATACACCCGAGCCCGCAAACCACTCACTGGAAACAACCTCCTATGTTCTTTCTTCACTTACACACAAACCTGCACCTGCACCTGAATTCTATTTAGCATGCGACTGTATATACAGCTGTTTCTTTTGGCTTGCATACATATTTGCATGCATACTTGCGTGAATAAGGACGCATGAAGTTTTGTGTCTTCCTTTTCTTTGGCTGACAAGGTGGACTTTATATCCAGCAGCAAAAGCAGGAAAACAATGACACCGATCCTTAGCTGTATCGACACTGCCCCCACATTGGCGCACACGAACTAGTCAAATAGAACAGCACTGTATAGTATGTTTATTTATTTATTTGTGTATTTATATATGGAATATGTATATTCTTACGCATATAGCTTTTGCATGCAAGGCCCACATACGTAAGCGCGTGCGCATGCACGTATATACATCAGCAGCAGCGGAAAACAAATGATGCTTCGGGTGTTGTAGCATCCTTTGCCTTCATGCATGAGTACAGCCGTGCATAAATGAGTGGTTGCAGCCCCAAGGGATGGAGGAGGGAGCCCTTCTGTCTTTGTCGCCTTTTTGTGCATCTGCCCTTCAGACTTGAGACCCAAATAGAAGTTCAAATGCGCCAGCTTCACCTCTGTGACTCCCTCCTTAAACAGCTCCCGTCTGCTTCTTCTCCAGTTTCTTCTTCTAAGTCTAAGGAGGCCCTCTTGGGGGCCCTGGAGGGGGCCCCCTTGGAAGATGTCTCTTTTCCTGCAGATGCTTCTCTATTGCAGCATCTGCAGCAAATATACGCCTCAGCTGGGGCCCCTCTCCACCGCGACTCGAAGCTAAACCCATTAACAGCAGACGAAGAAGACGAACTCTCCTTCCTGGAGGCAGCTCTCTGCGTGGGCCTACACCCCTGGAGGCATCTCATCAGCACTCAGCAAGGGGAGGCCCCTCCGGCAAGCCAAGAGGCTTTACCCGCTGAGCAGGCAAAGAAGGAACCCGTACCCTCTAAAAAGGGGGCCCCCTTGTCAAAGCAAGGGGTATTAGATACTAAGGAGGAGAATGCTCCCCCGAAGAAGGGGGACGCAACTGTCAAGCAAGGGCCCCTGCTGCAGAAGCAACAGGCTCCAGCCTCGACGAAAGGGCCCCTGGCTTCGAAACAGGAAACAATAACCGCTAAACAGGGGCCTCTACCTCCTAAAGGGGGCCCCTTACCCCTTAAACAGGGCTCTCTACCGTCCAAAGAGGGGTCTCTACCCCTTAAGCAGGAGCCTCTACCCCTTAAAGAGGGGCCCGTACCCGCTAAGCAAGCTCCCCTACCCGTTAAACAGGGGATCCTACCCGTTAAGCAAGGTCCCCTACCCGTTAAGCAAGGGCCCTTACCCGTTAAGCAGGGGCCCCTGCCCCTTAAGCAGGGGCCCCTACCCCTTAAGCAGGGGCCCTTACCCCTTGTAAAAACACCTCTAGCCGTTAAAACGGGGCTGTTGGCCCCGAAAAAGCCACTCTTACCTCTTAAGAAAGGGGCCCCTGCTAGCTAAGCAAGAGGGGCGATCTCTTAAAGAAAGGGGCATCCGACCCCCTCTAGGCTGTCGTTGCAAACAGCTAGAGGCGCACACTGTCCTGTTTTGACAATAGTGAGGGCAGTTGTATCTTTGTTTTAGGGGGGGGCCCTCGCCAACTAGAAGCTAGGACCAGCCCGAATTAGAGGGCCCCCTAGGGGTTCCCTCGTTGCTAAGACGGACGTATGATCGTTTGGCGTTTGAAGGCAATGGACGCAGCGTCTTCCTGGTGCAGCACAAGCTGCTGCTGCTGCTGCAGGAACCAACTTCCGCCCCCCACGCTTCCTACTACTGCGCTGCCACGGCCAGGGTCTAGGCCTTTAGGCGGTCGCAGCAGCAGCAGGAGCAACACGAACAGCAGCAACCCCCTTGAACTTGAGCAGTGCAAGGCAATGCCTAGGGTAGTTGTAGTATGCGGAATGCACAGAGAAGCCACTACTCCCCAAGCCGTATGCCCTAAACCCTCAACGCATTACAGCAGCATATCTGTGCTGTACGCAGCAAAGAAGTAGCTAAACACCACGCTTGAAGGTTTGCATGCAGGGGCCCTATTCTTTCTCTCTAGTCCGTCCGTTAGAGGTGAAAAGTTGGGAAATTGTTTGGAGTTGGCAAATGCGCATGCGGAGGAGCGATTGTATTTGCATGCGTCTGCTGCCTCCCATGCAAGCTCGAAGTATCACTTTAAAACCCCAACAACTACATACATGGCGAAAAAAGCATGCATGCATGCGATTCATGTACGTACGCATGCATGCATGCATTTAGCCGTAGAGGGTATGCAAGCAAGGTGTACTCCGGCCTGCCTGCAGGTAGACTCGCAATCCCGTGCAATGCATGCACCCCATGCATGCACATGCATGCTTGTGCACCTCTCTCATCTGTTTGCACCTGCATGTACTGCTGTGTGTACGTGCACATGTATGTGTGCAAATACACACATAAGATAGATAGAAGCTGGTTATGAACGTTTTATTGATGCATGCATGCACTCACGTGTGCATGAATGCACTCAAGAATGCATGCATGCACTCACGTATGCATGCCTGCACGTATGTACGCCAGCATGCAGGCGCGCCTACGTACGCATACCAGGGGATGCATGCATGCATCCATCCATGCACGAATGCGTACGTAAGCACGTAATTTCCTGTGCTGTCTGCCTGCATATTTGCCCGTATGCAGGGACAGATGATGGAATTGCAAAACGCATCCCTTCTGCAGGCCCAAATGTCTGCGCATGCAAAACACAGATGAGGGCAGCAGACGCGCCCTTGGCGCGCGTGGTGTCCGTACACCCGAAATTGCAGATCCCGAAAGCACGTTTAATAAATACAGAGACATGCACATAGGAGAAGTGTGAGGTATTCACGGTACGAACGTAATTCATAAGCAACTGCCAAGAGGCTGCTAGGTGAAAACAAGCAAAAAACCCAAACGCAGCATCTGCAATTCGCAGAGCATTTGGGGAGGAGGAAAAAGTGCCTTTAAAAGGCACCTTTTCACCAGTAACAGTACTAAAGATACTAAAGTAGTATTCTGTACCATGCACTGTGTATGTAGTACGTACGCCACATGCATGCGATACGCATTCCTTTCGCTGGGGTGTATTATCAGGTCCGCTTGAACCGACAGACCCCCACGATGACTGTCTCCGCCTCCCTGGCTATCTCTTCCTGCCCTCCCTCTTATTCTTCAGGAGACTGAAAATGCGAGAGGCAGCAATGCACATGACAAACACGACCAGCTACACCTGCAGCAGCAGCAGCCGCTGCTGCTGTCGCCGCCGCTGCCGCACTAGGCTGCTGTTGCTGGTCATACTGTTCAGCCGCCTAAACACTTCTTCAGCGCTGCAGCGGCTGCTTCTACTGCTGCTGTTGCTGCTCGGCTTCCCCCTCCCTTGTCCCGCCACCTCCAACTGCAACAGCTGCAGCAGCAGCAGCATTGTCATCCTGTCCGTTCTCTGACGCCGGAGTTGCAGCGGGTGATTGTGCTGCCTGCGCTGCTGCCTCTTCTGGTGGTGTTACCCCTGCGGCAGCTGGTTCTGGATTTGGTGTTGCTTCGTCAGCTGGCGCTGGCGCTATTCCCGCCTCTGCTGCTGCGGCCACTTTTGCTGCTTCATCCAACTCTGCTGCTGCTGCTGCTCTGCCATCGTCACTTGCTGAAGCCGGAGGCGTTGCGGCTTCATCTGCTGCTTCTGTGACCCCACTGGGAGGTGCTTCTGTGCTTGCTGCACCTCCATGCTGTTCTATATCTGCAGCAGCAGCGGCGACCGCATCCGAATCGGGCAATGCTGCTGCTGCTGCTGCTGCTGCATGTTCCTGTGCGTTTTCTGCTGGAGCTTGGGCTGTTCGCGTTGTGGTGGCTGGCGTGACAGCCTGATCCATGAATATGTTAGGAACGAGCCAGAAGGTGAGGGAGATGGGAAGGAAAGGGCATACTCCCATAGCGAGTCCGATGGCTAGAGGGAGATTGCTGAACTCGCACTTAGTGCCTTCTGTGGTGGCGAGGGTGCGGATGCCCAGTAGAGTGAAGCATAGAAAGTTGCCACTTAACTTGGACATAGACTGAGCGAAGTTCTGCAAGCCCGCGACAACTGCGTACATGGTGCTTTCGATGTCTTTAGGGCACAAACGCGATATTAACACGCAACCAGGCATGAACGCCCACATAGACGCCACCTCCTCAATGATAGAAGCAGAGCAAAAGTACCAGGCCTTATCAGGGATGCCAATTTTGCGGTTCCACCGCATCACCATAGCAATGTCTAAAATGCAAGTCATCTGCTGCAACACCGAGGTAACCAGAAACGCGCGACGGAAGGTCCAGCGAGAAACAAAACGCTGGAATAAAGCCACGCCCACAAATGCAAAGATAGACTGCGCCAAAGCATTCCATGTCAGCAGATAACTCCAACTAAACTGAGGCCCATCCACTACACAGTCTGGCCCAGCCCTCAACCAGTAAGAAAACTGAGATGAGATGTTCGGCACCAGCATGCGCCCCAGAAACATGTACAGCACAGGCTTCGCCAGGTGTGCAGGCATCGTGCACACCACCGTCGCCGTTATGCAAACCCCAGAACAAAACCAGTAACTTATGCCCACCACATGCATCTTATCGCTCAGCAAGCCCGCTATCATCGATCCAAACGCACACACCGTCAAGCATAACGCACAAGCAAACAATCGCCCGTGCTCTGACAGCAGAAAGCACTGCAGCAAAACACACACACACACACACAAACAGCCAGAACCCGCATCATAAACCCGAACTTCCAACAATTAACCCGAAACAACAAGCACCATACCCACCCCCACAAGCAGAGACCGAAGAACCAATCCAGGCATTTCCCTTCAGCACACAATTCAGATAACGTGCTTTTTTGTACGCGGCAAAACAGTACACTAAAGAGCAGCACTATAAGCACGCATCTCAGAGATATCTGCAAGCTTTACTATGAAAATCAACGACACCGGGTCTGCCTGCGGCTAAGCAATCGAGCTACAGGGAACAACAGGGGAAAAGGATGATGCAACCTAGCAAAGTAAGTAGAGGATAACGCAACATCAACACGCTGCGGACAAACTTAGATTTATTTCTACAGACTTTAGTTAACCCTAGCGGCCCCCCATCGTTTACGCTTAGGTGCCTCTAAGCCGCTGCAAGGCAACAAGAAGTGTTTTGCCTTGGTCTACCGCTGGTATAAATCTGAACAACTGCTGATGAGGCGTTCAACTGTAGTGTTCTAATTATCACAACTACTGCTATATGTGCACCAATGTTGTATGCGTTCAAATTATAAATACCTTGAATCTGTCATTCTTGGGTACATACGTCTCGCCGACCACTCCTGCGTGTGTTTGCCAGGCCCTGAAAGGCCAGGGCCAAACAAGCAGAAAGAGCTGCTGGGCACAGAGCGGCAGAAAGGGCGCCAGAACGATTTGAAAAGGAAGATGATCCACAACGGGCCCCACCCAAACCGCCTGTGCAAAAGTACCAATGGAGGAGCAGAGCCAAACGAACGAAGTGAGGGCGGCGCCGGTGTGCGGCTTTTCCGCCATTCTTCGGGTGTACGAACCCTCGCACAACAGATCGTTGAAGCTCGCCTGAACCATTATTAGAAAGAAGCCCGCTACTGCTATGCCCATGGTGAGGCGGCCAGCAGTAGCTATCAGTAGGATTGACCCTATCACGCCGCTGCTGGAAGCAAGCAGCATATAGGACCTTTTGTGGTAGCCCCCCAACGCAAACAAATCTGAAACAGAGCCTACAATGCCCTTAACACTCCAAGGGATCATGAAGAGAGCTGTCGCCACGCTGTGCTTCTCAGCAGGTAGCTTCAGCACCTCCCGAAACACAGGTGTAGAGGCAGCAATTGCCATATGGTAAGCGGCGCCCTTTAGAAACAAATAATTCGACATCAAGCAAAGCAGCAAAGAACCCCCAAACTCCTTGTGCAACCGCGTGAAATACAACAGAGGGGAGCGCCAAGGGCGCAGGCACAAACGGCTGCACAGGCTGCTAGATTCTGGAGCATCAGAAGATGAAATATCTTCGGACTTCCCCTGGTCCGGAGCCACCGTCGGCAACTCCGAGTCATTTCTGAAAGCAAAGGCACAAACGGGGGAAAAAAAACCGCACGCTAAACGGAAGAAGTTCCACCGCGAAGGAAGAACTACGCACAGTGGCCCCTGCAAGCAATCTAAAAAATTCAACAAATGGATCGACCGCACGCTGTCCAGCTTGAAACATTGGGCAAAGAAATGCAATATAGAATGGGCTACAAATTGGCGAATACTTACTTTGGAGCTAAACCCTCCAGAGCAACCAATTCAAGGGCGGCGTCCGAGACATCTGGCGCCGGCACCGCCGCTGCATTCATCTTGTGTGGCTTTAGCTCTTCAGAACGGTCTTATCGTTGGTTTTTCCCTTTACGGTTTATTTTCATTTCCACAAACAGACGTTTCCGTCCTGCGCGGCACATTAGTTGCAGCTGTTTCGGCCGTGCTGTTCACCCACGGGTTCTCGACGCCATCAGGCAGCCGTCGTCTTCAACCACCAGAAGCTTAAACTCCAAGAAATATCTGGAAAAGAAAAGAAAAATCTGGAGGGGAATACAATAAAACCAACGGCTGCACTGGAGGGGAGAGGCAGCAAGTGTAAGGCGCGTATAACACTTTCCGCCTGCGAAAACTCACGGGTCCAGGGAGGGAAAGACACTCATAAATGAATTTATCGACATAGGACCGAAGTAGCAATGTGAATACGAATTTCAAAAGCAAGATCTCTCACCACAAAGCCACTAGATGGCGCTACGTGGGACTGCAGCGGCCCCGCGAAGATGAGCACGTAGGCGACTACGTGGACAATTTGCAATGGCGGCCGGTGAAAAACACAAATACAAGAATCTCAGCAGATGTTTTTGTCAAAACGAGTGCAGAAGGGTCGGAAGTTGCAGATTTACTAGCGTAGGTAGCACGCCAGCTACGCGTTGAGGCGTGTTTATCAAAGCTGGTAGCCGCTGAGACCGCTGGTGGGTGGGGCATCCTGTCACGGCCGGCTGACCTTCCTTCTTCATCCACAAATCAAACCGAATTTTGCATTTGTAAAACAATATTTAAAAGGGAGGATAATATCGTCAATGTATATTCAGCTCACCGGCGTGGGAAATCCTTCGCCTTCCAGTGGGTTTCCCGCCCTCAGGGCGGGTCTTCCGTGAGTCTTCAATCGTAGCATAGGAATATCGTGAGCTACAATAGAGTCTAAGTGCTAAATATTAGAGAGGTAAATAGCAGGTGACTTCCCCTCCAGTCCTCGGGCATCCTGTCCGCAGCGGCCGAAGGGCCTTGCATGGGTGTGGAGAAGAAGTAGCTTGGACCATAAAGGCTGGTTCACATGTTAATATTTGCCTACAAGCTGCCTACTGAGGGCCATATAAGTGTTTAAAAATTGTCCACAGTGTCAGTGCATGCATCAAAAGGGGGCTTCGGTGCACTTACATATAGGGTCGCCTTGCTGCAGGTAGTGCAGCAGGATGCGCTGCAGTTCTTGACAGGAAACCTCTTATCTGCACCAGGCGCAGGCCCTTAACTCGCTGCGCCCAGAATACCTGCAGGCTGTAAGGAAGGTCAGCTACTTTTCGGGGGCACTCATGTAGGTGTTTTGCTGCAGATCACGACTGTTGTTTGCTAAGATCGACCCGTGTGTTGCACTTGGTAACACAAAATGCTACGGAGGCAGGTGCGAGCAGCCAACGCCACACCCAAAAGTGGCGTGCCTGGGTCCTAGCGCCGATTGGTAAGGAATGCGCTATGTAATACAGAGGAGGGAAAAGCTTTGCTAGTTCCCCTAAAGCCTCTTCCAAATATTCAGCCCTTTTCCCTACTCACTGAAAATTGGTCAAGAACTACCCTTCGAAGAAAATGGGGCCGTTTGTTGCGCGCCTCATCGCATTGGAGCGAGCGTATGATGTACCTCCATACGGCGTAAGCATTTCATGATGAATGCATCGTTTTTGCCAACCCTTCAGACGTGACGGGGGTCCATGATGATGATGCAGTGGAGTTCCTTGCTCCTCTGTAGGTGTTATCGAGATACAATTGCTACTGGTATTGTATTAATTTGAGAGGGAGGCATGATAATGATGACAATATAGATGCAACGGTGTCGCATTAAGCCGTGGAAGCTTTCCGGGATGGGCCGCGACGTAAGCTTATACCAGGTTAGCAAGGGAACAGGCTGTGACAAATTGGAGAGGATTTAAATAAGGGAACCTATACAGAGAGATTTACAAAGAGAGCGGTTAGCCTTTGCTGCACAGAAGGCGAACGGTGGACTGGGAATTTCCAAGTCGATGGTACACAGCAGGGCCATCCCATGAAGGGAGGCAATCCGTTAGTAATTTAGAAACGGAGAGGGAACTAAGGGCTGAAATGATGGAACACTCCGAGGTAATGGACTGGTTTCGCATCGAAGCGAAAACAAAGTCCAATCCACTGCCCTAGTGGCAGTGCATATACGGATAGTGGGGCTTTGAGTGCCTCGTCAAAAAATATGAGAAACTTGGTGTATGTCCAAGTTCAAGTTAATGCTCAGGAGTTTATGGAGGTACCTGACCAAACTTGGAAAGTGGGTCTTGTAAACATGCACTTACACGCTGAAGCAACGGCTAGGAGGTGCAGCGCATCTGTACCTCAGGCTACATGCAACGTCCCTGTCTATTCGTCTCGCTGACTGCGCCTCCCTGAGAGCAGGGGAAACAGGAACCAGCAAAACTAATGCTGTACAGCATGGGGTCCACTAAGATGCCAGTCAAACTACTGCGATACGTTGGACCACTTCACCACGGCAGAATCCTAGGCATGCCGTGGACCTAGTGCACTCGCACTACAATAGAGCTCATGTGGGTGACCTTAGAGGTCTAGCTTCACGAAAGGGAACAATTAAAGTATAATTATACTTATACTGGAACACTTTAGATAGAAAAGAGGTCAATTAAGCCAAGACTGCTCGTCCGTCTACACGGGACCCAGGGCTGACCGTCAAGCTGATGCAGCCGTCGTGGCTCCGACCCTCTGCGGGGGGAGTCAGTCAGTGCTATTATTGTGAGTTTTCCCTTGATAATAGGGACTCTAATATGCTTTGGAAATTAATATTTGACCAAATAGAACGTTTGTAGATTGTGCATAGAGGATAGACACCGGAAGCTGGCTTGTGCACCTAGATAGACATTCTTAGGAGACATACGTGGTAACAGTGAAGCTGAGCTGTTCACTGCAGTGGGTGGCTCAGTGGAGGGCCCGCACATGGCCTCCAGATGGCGCCATTGAGGTCTATGTGCTGGCACGCAAAAGGAGAGTACATCGATTAGTGTTCACAACACCACTTGCATTCTCTACGGCAGGAGTGGAATCAGTGTCTCAAGAAGAAAGGATCAAGGAGGCTCCGACGGAGTGCAGAGATGTCCACTGAAATGACGAAGAATTGCATGCTTTCCCTCGTGCTAATCAAACGAAGACCGTACTTTTGGGAGATTCGAAGCCCTTAACACCCAAAGAGCAGCAGGAAATGGCCCACTGGAAGGAAAAATTCTGAGAAGTTTTTTATCGCAAGTACGTTCAGCGGGCCAGTCACCTGCTGGACACCCAATGCGCCGCGTCGAACTCACCTGCGAAGCACGCCCAAGGTTCGTCCCGGGTACTCCTGCATCGTCAAACAAAACTCGAAAGGCCGATGGACGAACTGCAGGTAAAAGACACAGCATAATAGCAAATTATCGCCTTTGGAGGCAATCCAATGCTGGCGAGGAGAAAAAAAGGAATTGGAACATCTGAATCGACGTCAACGTCCTCAACCAACTCGCAGTTTTCCGATTTCGAAACGTATCTGAACAAATATCCCAACGATGTTATGGTGGGTTTACCATCAGTTGAACCCTCTGAAGCATTTACGTTGTTGTGGACAGATTCAGCAAGCAACATCTTCACTTTATCCGCTTGGGCAGAGGGAGTTTCCAGGAAGTACGCGTATCATCTGGAAAGCATCATTACTGAGAGGGACCCGACGACCTTCAGCGCATTTCGACGCAAATTCGTGGCGTGAGAAAATACCGGCCATAGCATGACCACAGCGAAACGCCCAGGGGCGGACGGCCAAACAAATGCATCGGCAGCATGCCTAGGCTGTATTTTCGACACAGTACCTAACAAATTCCTTCAAGGTGCTTCGACTTCCTTCCTATTGTGGAATGGGCCTATTGTACAACAGTGCACTTTTCAGCCCGAAGTCCTCACACTTCCTAGCTCTCCATCGAAACGCCGCTCTCTTCCGACGTTGTGACTGGTTATTAGAAGCCAGCCGCGTACGCTCTCAACTCATTGCTTTACATTGACCTTGCGCCATCGTGGGAGTGCATGAAGAAAACACAGGACAACTGTGCAAGAAAGTACTATAAGTGATATTTGGCAGTCACTTCCAACCCTAACAGCCCTGATGATTGGAAATACTAACATGCGTAGCAATGGTCACCTCGGTTTACCTAGGTAGCGGTTGGTTGACGTGCTGGGTTGGAAATTAGAGAAAGCTAGCTTCTAGACGATATAACGGAGTTGTCCCCTGCGAAGGAAGCTGGAGGCGCTAGCTCCCCGGATGGTGCTGAGGTTAAAGAGCCGAATTGCCTCAAACAGTCCAGTGATTGTGAGTACTTGGCTCGCATGAAAGTCAGCCCAACTGCGGCCCGTAAAACCTTTTTGAAGAGACCGAATCACTCCTGGCAGAGGAGCCTCAGTTGCTGGTAACTTTCGCCTAAGGAGCGCGGAGTTTTCCTCCTCACAAAAGCGTACAAAGTGGTCTTTCCTACCAGTTAGGACTCTCCCTTCGTCTTGGTACCAGCGCCACCAATATACTTTTGCTTTAGTTTATTGACTAGACGTCCTCATTTCGTCTCCTTGACGCTAACAGTTTATTCCTTCAATTAATTGATTTTGGGCTCTCGTTCCGATAGTGAAAGGACGATAAGGATATATATTTCTCCTACACAACACTCAGGGCCGTCGCTGTGCTTGACTCATAGTGCAGACAATATACATTTCTTCTACTTTGTTGACAATGCTTTAACCTACTCGAGAGAGAGGTCACGCGTCTCGGAGCGCAGACTGTCCCGCAGCCCCGCGGTACCTAGCTCTTGCAGCAGAGCTGCTGTCGGGGAAAGCGTCCAACACGCTGAAAAAGAAAGCACAGCAGATCAATTACTTCGATATGCTGAGAGTAGATGGAAACGAAGTAACATTGGAATGCTGGAAATTGCATTTTGATGACCCGCAGAGCAGTTCATCATCGATTTGATTCAAACAACCTCATGGGCCCGTTGCCACGACCGCGACCCCTGGATGCAGTTAGGATATATTTCCAGTTTTCAATATTTAAATGATGGAATGCAGTAGTCATAATTAAGAAGGGAAACGCGTGCAATTTTCGGTGAATGACGGGGTGTGCGCACGTGTGCGCTTCAGCCTTTCGCTTTCGGCCGGCACACCAGTGGTCTTCCCCATTTCCGCTAATAGCATGCAACCTCCATTGTTCCCTCCCCCCAAATCTAGTTCATGTGCTCCGTTCTGAAAGCACGACAGGGAGGTTCTCCTCCTGTTAAGCAGCTGCCGGCTTTGTCGAAGCGGTCATCCAATTTTCTTGGATCGGTTCTGTGTTGGGATTTCGCCCTATTTGATTTGCTGAGTTGCAGGTACCTTTGTTGTTTCTCAGGTTCGGATATCTGTTGTCTCCGCTGCTAAGGTGTGGGCCTTGATTTCTCCCCGTTGCAGTGTTCAATTTTTGGGTTTCTAGAAGGTATTTGTGCGGAAATGGCGTACGCTGTGTCCCCATACTACACCCCGTGTGTTTCATGGAATGTATTAGTGCCGCAGCCGGCGTCACCCCAAATATATTACTACTACGTCCCGTCTGCGTGGACTTGCCTCCACTGTTCCGTGGCGAAGTGCTGCTGCGTTAGCTGCTGCTGCTGCTGCTGTCGCTGCAGTAGCAAAACAGCGGTAACGGCAACTCAGGTTTCTCCCCAACCAGCAGAGGTGGTGCCTCCGGCAGCTGTCTTCCAGCCTCGCTCTGGCACCGTGCAGCTCGAAGGTCAGGTGCAAATACAGTCGAAGGCTCCCGAGTCCTCACGAAGGGTTGACCCAAACAGAAAGAAGGACGTGGGAGAAGCAGAAAAGGGCTGGAGGAGAGTCAGCAGCCTTCCGCGCATGCGCGCAGAGAAAGCAGCAGCGAGTGAAGACTCATGCAGCAGCCACAGTTCCAGAAATCAGAGACGCGGAGATCGAGGAAGACGCAGGCAGCCCAGCCCGGAAGGGCGCGGCCGCTGCGAAGGTACATTGATTATCAAAGGTCTGCCGATGCTCGAGAGGAAAGAAGAGAAGAAAAGTCCAACAGAGAGCAGAGAGAGGGAATGCATGCTCAGAGGGATGCTCACATTTAGCACCCAGTAGTCCAGCTTCTGGCGAAGCACAATTACGTGAGGGAATTGCTGCTGCTGCTTCTTCTGCTGCTGCTGCTTCGGTGGCACTTGGAGCAATTCCTGTGGGGTGGGCGTAGTCTTGATGGATTCGAACTGGAGCTTTGTGACGGTGAGGCGGTATTATGGGGCTTCGAAGATTCTCTACTTACTCACACAAGGGGACGTTGGTATGCTGATGATGATGATGCTCATCATCACCAGCATACCAACGTCCCCTTGCTGCTGCTATCGACGATGATGCTCATCGTCGATAGCAGCAGCAGCAACGGCAACGCGGGGAGCCTGATATGCATTAGAAACATATCGATGGGTAAAGGAGCATCCAGAGTTTTTCTTTTGTCGTTCGATGCCGCCCCTACCAGGAGCATCGGAGGTACTTGGAACAATTTTGAATTTGTCATATTCACATTTTTCCTCATAAACTGTCTTGTTTTCCCAGGTAAATCTTTCTCCTTACATTTTCTTTTTCTTGCCCTCTAGCATACAGCACCATCCTTCAACGTCCGAACTGATGGATGCCGTATCGCGGTTCTGCTTGAGGTTCAACCGATGGTTTTCGGTAGCAGCAACTGTAGTGGTGAAAACGGTGGTTTCCTATAGCAGCAATGGCAGCAGCAACAACATTGGGCATTTGATTCGTGCCCACCAGGCATCTCGTTAGCTAGCTGGTTAGGTGACTGGCTAGCTAGCGAATGGCAATCCCTGGTGCAGTTTCAGGTGCCTGGGGTGTAGTACATAGAATTTATCGCGTCTCAGCTTGTATAAGGATGCAGAGCAGAGTGGCAGGGAATTGGCGAGTTAGCTTTCTTAATAGTGTAGTATATAGCATGAGAGGATCATGCTTGGTAGAGAAGAATATTATGTTGGGGCCGTGGCGCTCGAAGATCGCATTCACAGACGTAAGCAGGAAGTGAGGCAGAAGAGCAGGAAATGGCTTATATATGCAAACACATGGACGGAAAACCCAGAGAGGAGATGGGGCAGACAAAAACCCAGATGCGGAAAGCTCCACAGACAGAAGAAAGGACAGGGAGGAGAGGCACGCAGGAGCGAAGCCGGAGGCTCAGGAGGCAGACGGCGTGCAAATAGCAGGTAGACAGGAGCCGGTGAACCGAGCCAGACAGATGGATGGACAGAAAGGGAGAAAGCGAATAGACAGAGAAAAGTATGCAAGAAGGTAGTAGGTGGACGGATAGGTAAGCAGCAAGAAGCCAGGCAGAACAGCCACAGAAGGAGGCACGGTTGAAGTAAGAGAAGACATATCGAGCACAACTGGAAGCGCAGGATGGAGAGGAGGTCTTGCTCAAAAGCGCCGTAGTTTTATCATCGGAAAACGGAGTACGGATAGCAAAGTACTGTTTTGGGGCTTCTCTGCGGTTGGGCATCGTGGTTGGAACTGAATTTGCCTTTGGTTCCCATCGGCGCGGCTCGCCCGCGTTCTGTCTGAGCCTATTGCCAGGTCTGGCTGCTGGTGTGCCTCTGTCTATCAGTGTTTTGGTTGTTTTTGTGGAACATTACGTTCATCTTTCTCTCAGACTTTTATCTCCCAGTAGGTTTGTTTTTGTTGCATCTTTGCTGTGTACAGAGGACGAAGACGTGCTCACGAGCCAAACACAGAATGGCAACCTTCGACGGCTACTTCTGTCAGACACTTGCTTGTAGGGGAAATCAAGGGACAAATGTGCACCCAGAAAAACCCACGGGAGCAGCGAGACTAAGCAAAACGAGGAGGAAAGGACTATGGCAGGCGGCCGGTAGAGCAGAGAAATGCACACTGATGAATAAGAGAGTATGCAGCAACACTTGTGTGAGGCGCCTGAAAACAGAGGTTGATAGACGGGGGCGTAAAACGGGTATATGGCGTAACAGTTATCGGCAGATACAGAAGCAAGTCACCTAATGGTCAAATGCTTGAGGCTGCAATTGTGCTGGAGTACGCAGAGGGCGGCCCGAAAGGAAAGGTGAGAGCGACGCAGAGAGTGAGAGGTGTGTATTTTTCACAGTCACAAGAGGTGAGGTAGCTGGACTGACTCAGCGAGAAGAAAACACAAAGTGGCAAGCAAGCGGAGAGGAGAGGAACAGCCGAATGCATCTGTGTAACGGGAGGAACGTTACAGTGGATACCCTGTGGCCCCGAAATGCAGACCAATGAGAACCTCTGTAAGTTTGTGTGAAGATAGAATTTGCAATTACAGGCTAGCCAGTACAAACTGTTCAGCTCGGCAGGGGGGTATCATAAGTAGGAAAGCCCTAAAGAGGACAGAATTGCGGTGCTTGACGTTCCGTGCATCATCGCCAAAGGCTGTGAAATCCATTTAAAGACACTAGTGGGTTTCGTGGACAAGAGGTATGGTAGAGCAAGAAGTTTTCTTAGGAGGCAAATTGGTTATGGACAGGCTTTTTCACTCAGCCCCGGCTGAACCTCCAACGGGCCAGGAGACGTCAATCCACGATGCATGTGAAGCAAAGTGAAAGTTAAATGTTTTAAAGCGAAATTCTGAGAGCAAATGAAAGGCCAATGCATTTTCTGGGGCTAATTTTCCACAGCCTGAGGAAATTTCAGTGTCAGCGGAGTGACCAGGTTGGGCGCGTGAAGATCTCGTCGTCGGAAAAACGCGAAGGATGCGATGTGGAGAAAGTAAGTTGGTTTGCGCCTTTTGTACAGCAGTATGAATCTGGTGCGCAACATAGAAATAACCCCCATCGTCTATTGCTCCCCAGTAGCAGGCAAACACCTTCAGTGGTCCGCTGCAAAATACTAATGCTCTGTGGGGCTGAGGAGGACTGCGTACCATCCCTTCTCTCCGCCTCCATATCGCCCAAATAGAGCTTTTTCGTGTTGGTATTTTCATGCTCTCAACAGGAGGATTTCCGTATATCCTTGAAATGCGAGGAATTATGCAGAGGTAGGGCCGGGTCACCTTCCCCGACACGCCACCCGCTGGACGACGTCTCGCAGCGGCGAGAACGGTGTCGGCTCAGTTGTCTTTTCTGAAGGTTTCTCTGCCTTCTTTCCGCCTCAAGTGTTCACTGCATTGTTAATTGGCATCTCTAGCTGCAACTAGTCGCAAACTTCAGGCCACAAGGGCCCACGAGGCGCAGGCGTTACCTCTCGTGCCCGTCTAGGAACCCGCAAACCCTGAAAGATAAAAGTAAATTCTAGGGACTGGAACCCTCTACAAACAAACTAGCAAAAACTCTGTATACGAATTTCAGTCGAACCAGGCAGTACTAGGGTTACACGGTGCTGTTCTTCCCCCTGGTGTTGTGGTGGCCGAGCCTGCAGGCTTGAACAGTCAACGCGCATTTTCATTGTGACAAGGCCTAAATAAAAATCCGCGGCAGTGAAGTCTCTAAATGCTGCTGAATGCACTTCTCCTGACGCAGAAGGCTGCCCACCGTCTTCCCTAGATCATCTTGTCTCCTCCTACGAGCACTCCTGAAACCCGTAGCTGGCATGGTGAACCGGCAGCAGCAGGTTTCAGGCATTCCTGCGTAATGGAAATGGACTTGCATGCGGACTGCTGCTCCTAGAAAGTGTCCGTCAGGCCTCAGGCCTAGAGCGAGGACAAGGAAATGCAGCATCCTCTCAGTTGGTGAAGTCCTGTTGGATATACCTTCCCTATAGCAACGTCTCCCGGAGTTCCTGTTGCGTTCCTTTTTGCTGCTTCTTTGCGTAGTATTTTCTGTACCTTATCGCCTGCACCCTTGAACTGTTCCAAGAGGATACAAAACAACGCACTAGCGTGCAACTGCTACTGTCCCCTGACGTATGCTTCTGTTGCAAACGTCAGTGCTGTGCCTTCTGAAGAATTCAACCACTTTACGGAGTTTCCCCACTATCTTTTTGTCTTGGTGGTCTTCTGGTGGTCAATAACTTCGCTATACACAGGGGTCCCACCAAGCTTAGGGCCTCTGAGAAGATCGGCGTGACTGTAGCAATCAAGGCCGCATATAGCATTTGTGGCAGAAGCAACAACAACATGGAGGAGTGCATGGCGAATGAAGGCCGGTGGGCTGGAGCAGCAGCAGCAGCAGCAGAGGCAGCAGCAGCAGAACCTGATGCTGCTGCTGCTCCTCCCGTCCAACAGCATATGCACAGCCGCAGAAGAGCGAAGCGCCCAATGAGCCCCGTTAAGGCTTGTGTACGTCTTGCCTAGCAGAGGGGGTAACAACTGTCAGAGTTTGCAATCTGACGAGATACGGATGTATGGGGAGCAGAATAACTGTGAAGTGGAGGTACTTGAGAAGCGCTACGGATTTGCAGATTCAACCACGAGTGCATCCTCTGCCGTTCCTTGTATTTACATTTGTGCATCTCTCTGCGATTGCTCCTTCAGGAGATTATCAGCAATGCTTGGCGGAAACGCTTAGAAAGGGAAGCCAGGCTGCTTGAGGAACTGGTGAGAGAAGCTGCAGGCGCTTCTGCACTTAGGGTGCCTGCTGCTGCTGCTGCTGCTGCAGCTGCAGCTGTTGGTTTCGCCACAGCTGCTAGCCATCCATACTAGTGCCGTCCGACTAATTTTGTTTTCCGCCGCAATTAGTTGATGACTGACAGCACGAAGAAACGGCCAAACGAACGGTGAACTGAATAATTAGGTCTAAGTGTCTTGGGTGTGTGCTCCCTGAAAATCAGAAAGAAGCCACAACCCGGTTGCGGAACGAAGCAGCATGTGTTGTACAAAGTTGTTTTCGAGGTAAGACCATACGTAACCTCTACTCCTTAAGCATCGTTCTCGCAGAATCCAATCAAGACTGTGGGCCTTCACACGCCACCATGCACGCTGCTCCCTTTATGTTGTGGAACTGAGGGCATCCCTTATCTAGTGAAACTGAGAGCACCCAAACTTCGTTCGAAGGCTCTATGCTGCGACGAGACAAAGAAAGCAATGTGCATTTGCAGGTGAATGGCTTCGTCCATTGTTTACAGGTTTTTTGCTTCGGAAAGCCCTGAAGGAGGAGCTGCAGACTACCGTCATCCGGTGGAAAAACCCTCCGCCAGGGAAACGGCATGAGGTATGGCGTTGCTTGGCGACAGGAGCAGCAGCAACACCTGCTGCTGCTGCTGCTGCTGCTGCTGCGGTGGCTGCGGTTGCTCTTGTAGCTTCAGCATTTGTCAGCGCCTAGGTGTAAGGCTGCACTCTGAACGCGAAACCGACTGAGTGGGGGAAAAGTGCTAACTTACTAGAGTTTCGATGCAAGTTGGTAGGCTGCTCGTTCGCTTAAAAAGGAAATACTGTGTATATTCATCATTCATTCGCTCTCACCTTTCCATTTAGGCTGAAGTTTCCATCCCTGATCCTCCCAAGTGGACAAAGAAAATTCCGATGCATTTCTGTCCCGTTCGGCAGTGAGCAAACCCCCCCGTACATAGCGCATGCTTAGCCTCTACGAATACCTGCAGAAGCATCGGCGTGGCTTTTTATTTAGACGCCTGCCGCTACTCTGCCGGTGTTTCCCTGAGATGCTTCGTGTCTTCTAGTGCTGTCAAGCTCTACCGTTGTGCACATAACTCCAGGATTCATTCGGCGTTGAGTTTGCGGCGACGCAGGGCGTATGTCTGCCCCGTTCCAGTGGTCAAGGGCAGGCTGCTCGTGAGGCTCCTCGTAGATAACGAGGAGTTTCCCCTCTATCCAAACACCCCTATGGACGTGAGCACGAATGAAAGCGAGAAGCTCAACGCTTCTAACTGTTAAGGGGCTGGAAATTGCCTCCAGCTTCGCAGGCGTTGCCTCAACTCTGCCGGCCTGCTGGCTGGCAAACAACGATGCTCGGTTGCTGCTGCTTCTGGCTGCTGCTGAAGGAAGGTATGTTGCTGCTGGTGTCACTTTGCTGTAGGGAGACCAAGGAGAGATCCCCGGACTGCTGCTTCTCCCCGGATCTTCTTTGGGGGATCGCATTGCTCCGAAGTATCCTTGGAAAGCAGCGAGACAGTGGTTGCAGCAACAACAGTTGCAGCACGAGCAGCAGCTGGAGCAGCAGGAGTTGCCGGAGAAGCAGCAAATCCAGCAGCCGCAGCAGATACGGGGGGCAGGTGCGCAGGAGCAGAAGCCGCAAGAGCGGCAGAAGCAAGAGGAAGCATCAACCCCTGGCCAAGATGCACAATACTTTTTGGAAAAGGGAGCGCTTGAGGCCCCCATGAGGCCCCCTCGTCGCTTTGGCGTTGGCCTCTTAGGCTCCCCCGAGATGCCGAGCTCCTGGAGCAGCACCAGAAATGAACAGAACGTTTATTCGTGGGGTGCGCCCTGCAGGCCCCCCTGGAGTAATGGCAGCAGCAGCAGCGAGGAGCGTGAGCTGTCACCCCTGCAGAAGAGACCTTCATGGGCTTCCGGGGCCAGGCTGAACCAAGGGAGACAGGTTCGCGTCCCACCACGGTGGAGGCAGCATCAGCAGCAGCAGCAGCGAGAGCAGCAAGACCAGCAGCAAGAGCAGCACAGAGAACAAGGGCAGCAAAGGCAGCAGCACCAACAGGAGCACAGTAACGAGTACGGCAGCAGCCAACACCAATACGGAGAAGGGTCCTGGGCAACCCCAAGCAACAGCAAAAGTCCTAACTGCTATGACGCAGAAGACGTCGGTTTCTTTTGTACTTCCTTCCGCAGCTCAGGCGAAGGAGCAGTAACAGGAGAAGGAACAACACAGACAACAACAGCAGCGCTACCATCAACAGCAGGCCTAGCTGCGACATCTATTTCTTGCAGCTGTGAAGCACCGCGAGGCCTCTGCAGCCCTCAGCTCCCGACTGTCCCTAGCTACTGGGCACTTTCTCGGTCTTCTACTGGCTCACCAAGAGGCTCATTATCATCGTCCAGAGGAGGCGAGCTTCCCCTTACCCCCCTTAGCAGCCCTTTCTGTCAGCAGCAGCAGCGGTGGGGGCAACCCATGCACAGGTGCTCCTTTTCCCCCCTCCTCAGAAAAAGCAGACCCCAAAGCAACACGCCCCGAAAGGGAGCAGAGTGGCACGCGCTAGCAGAAGAGGAGTACCCGTGGACCCCATGGCCTTGGGGGCTTTCGAAAAACTCTCCCGCAGGCGACGACTCGCTGGAGTTCAGTCTGAGAGATTCAGGGTTTGGCGAACACGAAGCAGAACGGCTGCCAAGCTGCCGCTGTCTAGACAGGTGGGCAGACGCCACTGTCTCCCACAGCTGCTCGTGCAACACCAACGAAGGCAGCCGCCGCAGCGCCACCAACTCATCTCACTCACACGGCGGGCAGGGGCCCCCTGGGCCCCTGCGCAAGTGTCGGGAGGCTCTAATAGGTACTGCGGATCTAACGGGGGGCCTCTTATGGGCACGCAGAAGAAGTCACAGCTATTGGGAACTGCGGAGGCCTTTTTCAGCCAGCCACCTCCTCCTGAGATTCACAAGAAGCCTCTCATTGCAGTGGTAGCAGCACAGCAGCAGCTGCTGCAGTTGCTGCTACACAGACAGGAGTAATGCCGCAGAATAAAACTAGGCAGGGGCAGCTACAGCAACAGCAGCAATATTATTGGGCCCAGCAAACGACAAAAAAAAGTGCGTAGGGCCCACTGCTTCTTCGGTACCTACCGCAGAGGGATGCGCCAGGGCCTCCTGCTGCAGCCGCGGCAGCGAGTGGCGTACAGTGTGACAGCCAAGAATCATATGCAGTAGCAGCAGCTGGCGGTGCTGATGCTATTACACCGACATAATGCTTCGTTGCGACATAAAGAGAGGAACCAGCTCCTCTATGCAGTGGGGAGCAGAAGGTCTCAGGTTTCTCTGGGGAGCGGGCTTTCCCGCATCTGTTCTACCGACGTAGTTAATTCTATTTAGCTGTGCATGCAAGCCTTCTGTGCATTTTCAGATATAGCTGTGGGAGCTGCTTCTTCATGAAAAATTGAACACACGGCACCCAATGGGGACCCCACAATCCACAGGAGGCAGCGTAGTTAGGGGGCATGAGGACTCTGCTCCGGTCTTGTTGTTTTTTTTGGTCGTGTTCGGATGAGGGCCGAAAACAAAGAAGTGTAAATAGCTTCGAAGCACAGGCAATCCAGTGCACACCCGCGAAATATTAGTCTTGTGCAGGACAGGTAGATTGGCTAAGCGGAGCACAAGGTGGTTGCACACAGGAGAAATGAAAGGAAGTTGAAGGAAATAAAGTGATGGTCAAACGTAGGCAAACTAGAGAAGAATTCCATGCACCGCATAGTGGGACGGGGACTGCATTACGGTACCAAGCAAGCAGGCAGGGCGTGCATTGCTTTAGTGGTGTTGCTGCAAAATTGAGTTTGCTTTCTTTCATATAAATTTTCTTATTAAAACTGCATTTTGGTGTCTTCCTCCTACAGTTTGTACTTAATAAACAAAATGGTGGCATCACCCAGGCCGTCCAGGACTCAGCTCTCCCGCGGCAGACGCAGTATACACTGGGACGTACATGGGTCAAGACATGCGAGAAAGCAGGATAAAAAGCCCCTTCTATTTGCTGTTTTTGTTCTATCGTGCCTAATCGTGTTTTTCTACTGTGTGCATACTGTACCCTAGAAGGCAGGCAGGTCGTTCCCGCTGGGGGGCGCGGGGAGGGGGAGTGGGGAAGCGGTTTCCGTTGCACTCAGTCGCTTTTGTTTAAAAGATTGTACAGGAAAACAATTATTAAAAAAATAACAAATGAGCAAACGCAAGTGAAGGTGAAGGCAGGTATTGCACTCTGCCATTACATATGCTTGGTTTTCGGCCACTGCGCCCCCTGCCGCACACAGACAAGCGAAGAAACTGAATAAATGAGCTGTCGTCTCTGCGATTGTTGAATGAACCCAGTAAAAAACGCTGAAATAATGCATATAGGTTGAAATTAGAGGCAAATAAACCAAATATTCGCCCAAGTTAATGCCTGTTTGGCAGGGAGAGCCGGGGCCGCTGCCCCTGCATGATTGAAGCAGAACTCCTCTCACTCTCTCGATTCGCATATGGGGGCTGTGGGTATTCAGTTCGTCATTTGGAAGCTCTGCCGCTTTTCTTCGGTGGAACGACCATGAAATAATTGATTTAGACAGTATATTTATATGCACTTTTCTCACAGAATACGAGTCCTCTGTGTTTCCCCTGTTTGAACTTTGGAAACACATGGGGTTTTTCGTGGGCACGTCTGCCTGCCCCATTTATCGGCTATTGTTGTTGTCTGGCTTTCCTTTTGCCATTTTTGCTTGGGTTCTGAAATGTAATCGCAATAAATAGGCCCCTTTTGCCGAGATATTTTGTTTGCCCCTCTTTTTCTCGGGTGTATGCGCAAGTTTCCCCTTCTGCAGTGCTGAATGTTCATCACGCGGGGCACTTGTTCTCGTTTTCCACCCTTTTCTTCCCTTTGGTTTTCTTCGGCCTTGTTTGCAATTTTCTTTTGAAGCGCATTCGCCGCACTCCCCACTTGTTTGCTTGGCTGCCACCTTCAAACTGGCAGTGCCTGGCCAACCCGACGCACCGTCTGCGGGATTTCGGCGTCTTTTCTGTCCCTAAATCGGGATCAGCTTGGATTAATTGTTCAAAAAACGGCAGGATTTGTTATTTGATCTGCTTTTACTAGTTTTTAGGCGGTTTCGTGCTCAGAAACGATGGACTCCCAGCTGTGGCAAGAGGTGCAGGCAGCACCGTTTCCTTCTGCTGCCGCAGCTGCAGCAGGTGCTGCTGTTGCAGCGCCTCTACCTGTGCAAGGGGTTCCAATGAAAGGCGTTATTCTCGCGAACCGCAAAACAATATTCCATAAAACCCGCATTTGCCCCCGTCTAAGCCTGGGTTCTTGTCACCTGGGCTCGCGTTGCAACTTCGCCCATTCCCTAGAAGAGCTCAGGCCTGCTCCTAACCTCGATAAAACTAAACTCTGTCCTTCTGTGCTACACCCGGGCACTGCTTGCCCTGCCAAAGCCAAGGGAGAAACGTGCAGATTCGCGCACAGCAAGGCCGAGATCAGACACACTTCTAACATGTTCAAGACCAACATGTGCCTAAAGTGGATACGAGGAAAATGCAAGGTAATAGACAATATACCTTTATGAAGTCTCTATGCTGTCCTTGTAAACACGAAAGTAGTTCTTGTGGTTGCTTGTCTTCCTTTCCACTTGTGCCTTTTTTATGTGCATGCTATGTGTATCATCAGCATGTTGTGTTTGACTGTCTTTTGCTGGCTGCTACAGATCTTTTCTACTTCTCTGTGTATATCCGTATAAATGAGATGTTGTATTCTTGCGAATATTGTTGTATATATGGCATCATTTGTGTACATTGAGGTGTCTATTGTGTGTGTGTACAGAAAGAGGCACAGTGTAATCACGCTCATGGACATCAGGAGTTGAAGTATTACCGCTCTCTTGCGATGGCCAGCGGGGCTCGGGACTTCGCTCGAGAAAGCGAAGCCACGATGTCTCGTAGACGTAAACAAGGCAGTAATAGTGTTGGCTCCCTTGCAGCAGCAGAAGGAGGAGCAGCAGCTGCTGCTACGCGTTTGTCTGCCGGGTTCAAGGAGACGGGGGGCAGCAGCAGCAGCAGGGGGGCAGCGTTTCATCGCTCTTCGCGTAACAGCAGCAACAGACAGCAGCAGGCAAAGAACAGCAGCTGCGACTCTGTCAACGCCGCATTGGCGGCGTTGTATGAAGAGCTGTTCAGAGGCACCAATAGGAGAGAAGGCAGCTACAGCTCAGCTGGGGGGGTTGCTACTTCTTTGCAAGATGACAGCACCACAGCAACAGATGAACTCTCGGATTTCTCCTCTTTCTCCTCGCGATGTCTATCAGACGCACTGTGCCCTGCAGCACCGACTACTCCCACCGCCGCCAACAACTTCGGTTCCTGTGGGGCCCCTTTGCATGCGTCTGCTTCGGACGTTTTCCAAACAACAGCCTCTTCTTGCGCAGGCACCCCAACCACGTCTCTGAGTAGCAGCAGCGATTTGAAATTAGATGTTAATCGGCTGCTGCTGCTCAGAGCGATTGCTGGAGAGAGTGGGGGGCTTCTGATGGGCTCGTGCGAGCAGCACGAGGAGGATATGCACCAAAGCACAGCGGCAGCAGCAGCAGCAGCTGCTGCTGCTGCAGCTGCTGCTGCTGGGAACTTAGCGACAGAACAAGAAAACATGAGACAACTGGAGGCAAACCTTGCAAGGCTTTGCCTGGCTGACGCTACTGCAAGACAGCACTATTATACCGAGCCCCCTCCAGGGTTTGAACACCTGCAGCAGCAGCAACAACAACAGCAACAGCAGCAGCATGCGGTCGTGGACTTGGAACGTCTGGCAACGGCTGATGGTTTGGATTGATTGTATGTTTTCTGTCTAGGCATGCAGCGAGCTTCATGCTATAATTGTTTAGTCATGCTTATTAGTATTATTCATCTTTTCGCCTCCTGGCCGTACTTCGATATTATAAGTAGTAGGGCCTTATTTCAAAAAGAAGAGGGGGCGTTTGGGATTGGCTTTTGTTCGTTTCTCCGCGATGGGTGGCTTCTTAATCCTGGCTGTTCTGTAGCAATTTATGATGCTCAGTTCAGCTCAGGGGCCGTGCGCATGCGTGCATAAACCCATCCATCCATGCACGGCTTACTTGAATAACGGTGCTCTATTGGAGTAGTATAGTAGTACCTTTAGACCTCGCCAAGGTCTCCTCTGCAGTTGTACGGTTTCGTTGCAGTTTAGGCAGCGAACACCTGCAGTGGCGAAGGTGGGGGGGGGGAGAGGGTGTGATGCTCTTTTCCCGGTGTGCTTTTATTATTCTGTTTCTAATTACAATGATGTAAAGGCTGGAGAGAAGTATGGACCGGATAGCGAACACTGTCTCGCAAGTATTTCTGTCCTTTTGGGTCTGCAAATAAGAAGCATGCTTCTCTCGAGGAGTTATTGTTCGCTTGGGGCTCCTCGGAGTTGTAATTTATTTCCTTCTCATACTTCCCTCCACAGAGAGGGGAGTTACGTGGCCGACGGAGTGGCGACCCTATCTTCCTTCTCAGGGTTTGCTGCTCTTGCCTGCCTTGTTTATTTAGGTTTGTTGTTTGCAATTGCTGTGAATGCGGATCTGGAAATAGAAGGAGGGACTCTAGCCAGATCGCGTTGGTGTACGGAGGAAGCTGAAGCTTGTACTAGGTGGACAGAAGAAGTAAAGTTTAATTCGCGATCTTCCGGGCGGAAGCGATAGTGAAATGCATAGTAAAGAAATATGCATTATGAACAAATGTATGCATTAAAATAGAATATGCATACACCGCAAAAGACCCATCGGTTTCAAGAACAGAAAGAGGCGGCGTTTGTCCGGCCGAGGGAACGTGGCGGTTCTGTGCGGCATAGCGAAGGGGGAAAAGGAGAAAAGATAAGGAGTGATAGTGAAACAGAAGAGCAAGACTATAAGAAGGCAAACTTTCTAGAGGAATATTCGCGTAATTGTCTAAAAGGAGGGTCTGTCTGTGTGCAGGTGTACAGTAGAGAGGAACACCAGGCGTCAGGAAAACTCTTCGCGGGTTTTTAATAAGCGAATGAGATAGGGTTCTTCTGTTGGACATTATTATTATGATTATTATTATGATTATTATTATTATTATATTATAATTATTATTCTTAATATTTAATTATCTTCCTTATTGTTGTATCGTCCATTCAGAAGTTGTGTGTTATAACTCAGCTGAGCCCCTATTCTTCCAACCTGTAAAGGGGTGTCGGCGATTCTGAACTAAATTTTAATATGGGGTTGCCATGCTTTGTGCTGCATGAAATAAAATCAATTTCGTGGAGTTCACTGTATGATGTCCCCAATTTGTTGGAGCATTGCTTGTTTTATTGTGCGTTGGGGAGGGACAGCGTGTTCTCCCTTCTTGCTTTTTGCTTGCCCTCTGCTTTCTTTGGGGTTGTTTTACGACGGTATTTTTAACCGAGTTGTGCAGCATCCAGCAGCGGCACCGACGAGATATAAATGCATGCAAATGAATGATTATATTAAGACCTGTTTGCAGCTGCTGATTTGTTTGTAGGGCTGTGCAGCTAGGAAAACACACAACTGAAGTGCATAACGCATGCACAAGCCATGTAAAATACATGTGCATGTGATGTAGCCACTGCGGCTGTTTTAGTTGCTTTGGAGTTTTCATTAATGGTATTTGGCCTCTTGGGTTCCTGCGGCAACGGGTGTTCCTACCGCTGGGTTTTTGCATGCATTTCCTGCATCGCTAATAACTTCCAATGCCTAATACCCCTTTTTATTTCATTCGATGGCTACGCACTTCTCCGTATAGCTGGCTCGCAGTAGCTCAGGTTAATTATTTCGATAGGCATAGCAGCAGTCCAAAGGTAGGCTGCGGGGTATGGACAAATAAATGTACATATATATAGATATCTAAATATATATATATATATATAT